AAAAAAAAAAAGAGCCCACTACCATGAACGGCCGGCAGCCAGCGTGAGCTTCCAAGAGCCGCCGTAAGTGGCTGTCCAGAAGTCGGCGACCGATCTGCCTCACCTGGGAAGAGCACAGTGATAATACTAACATGGGCCAATGAAGCGACGTTCTCCACAACTAGACTGAAGAACAAAAGGAGAGCAACTTGTCTGTTCCCCTTCCCCAATTCCCCAATAAAATCTTAAAAAAACAAAAACAAAAAATGGTAGACCTTTATATTGCCCCCATTGGACAGATGGACAAACTGAGGCACAGAGACGTGAAATCACTTGCTTGAGGTCACATTCCCTAAAGAGGTAGGGAATGGTGGCGGTGTTGGGAGTATCTCACAGTATCTTGTAAATTATGCTTATCTAGTTTTATTTCACCTTCACAACAGCCCTGTGAGGGAGTCAATATCACCTATCTTTTACAGGGAGAAAACTGAAGTTCAGGCTCCTTTCTCTCCTAAGTCCCCATAACTCATTAGCAACTGAACCAGAAAAGTCCCCCAGCTGTGCCGACTCCTACTTCAGTGCTTCTCCTGCTAGATCTATAGCCACCATATTTCCCGAAAGTCGCCAGACAATGGAATTAAGAGAGGATCACTGGGTGTGGGGCACCAGCATGAGAATCCTCTCTTTGAAGCCTTAGCCCTGATGTTCTGAGACCTGTGTGTTTTCTGGGGAGAGATTTCGTAGCTTTTGTCCAACTCTCTCCAAAGAGGTCCATGATCTGGAAAGATAGATTTCCTGGGCATCCTCTCTGATGAGGAAACACAGTGTTTTCATTATTAATTTAAACACCAAGGGATGAATGAAACTGAAGAGTAGATGTCTCAACAAAGTGTACTTAAGACTTTGCTGTTTGTTTGTTTCTTTGTTTAACCAGATCCTAAGACAAAATTTAAACCCTCGGACAAGAATTAGCATGACCTGATCTCAGAAGTCACTTTTCTTTCAGTTTGCAGACCAAAACATCTGGTCCCAGGAGGCAGCCCTGATGTTCACTGACCTGGGGATGCTCGAAATCCTGACTCCACTTCCCGATTCGGTTTTTCCAGCTTTTGATTTCCAGAAGTGCCCCGTGAATATCCAGGCAATTCTCATGGAGCCCCAACTCCAAGTTGACTTCTGCAAAGTATGTGATGGTAACTGTTGAACTCCATGCTCAAGGCACTACTTTTTTTAAAAACAGACAAATGCCAGAAACCCAGAGTTGGGCATTTGTAGATGGTAACCACACGTAGAGCTCCAAGTAGGGTTTCTGATAAAATATAGGATGCCTAGTTCAATTTGAATTTCACAAAAACAACTAAATCTGACAACCAGCCACTAGTGCCCCCAAAGGCTGGCACCCACATCTTGTATAATTTCCTGTCCCTTATTTCAAATGAAAACACATTTCACTTTTAGTAGACGTTCTTTGTAACAAGAAAGTCAACCAACCTTCAAAACTGTTCAGAAGAGAACAAAGTAAATGAAGTGGTTATCAGGACCAGTCCCCTTCGAAGTGGTCACATGAACAGTCACAGTTCCACAGAAGCTTACCTGTAGTCTCCAGAGAGGGACAGTTGATTGGGCTCAAGGAACCCACCAAGCCATGGGTACTAGCCTTAACCCTGGCCAAGTGGACTGATTAAAGAGGGGGAAATCAGGGCCGGCCGAGTGGCGCGGTGGTTAAGAACTCGCTTGGGATGCCAGAGGGCCCCGGTTCGGATCCCACATATGAGGGCCAGTGACACTGCCCTCTACAGCTGAGATGCTGAGCAACGGCTCGACCTGGAGCTGGGCTGCTGTGGGTCGCCGGCGACGGCGTGGACTGCAGTCCCTGTGGCAGTGGGTTGCCATGGGCTACCGTGTGTAGCCAGCAGCCAGCGTGAGCGGCCAGCAGCCGCAGTGAGCGGCCATCCAGAAGCCGGCGACTGATCTGCCTCACCCGGGAAGAGTGCAATGATGGTGCCAACTTGGGCCAGTGAAGCAACATCCTCCACAACTAGACTGAAGAACAAAATGACAGCAACTTGTCTGTCCCCCTTCCCCCAATTCCCCAGCACTGTTCCCAATTCACCAATTCACCAATAAAAAATCTTTAAAAAAAAAAAAAAGAGGGGGAAATCATAAAATACAGAAATATGCACCTGTCAATTTGGAGTCATCATTCTGCAAGTGACGGAAAAGCCAAATCAAATGGGTTTACACCAAAAAGGCAATTGTTGGCTCATGGGCCAAAAAGTCCAAGGGGTGAGGCTTGATCTAGTAACTGAAATCATGCCACCATGAGCCGGCTTCTCTCCATCTCTTCACTCCGCCTGCCAGGACATTTCATGCTTCATCCTGAAGTTCCAACTTAGTGCCTCGGGGAAGCCACAGGCTCTCATTTCATGGCAGCAAGCTGACAGCTGACCCTGCACACCTGGCATCTTCATATGATATCCCAGGCAAGAAGAGAAAGGGTCTTTCATCAGAGCCCTGTGGAAGCCCAGAAAAATCCCATCATGTCTCCCACATCTCATTGGCTCAGAGAGGATGGCACACCCATTTCTGGACCAATCACATGGCTGGGGGTGAGCAAATCAGAACCCACTCCTTGAGATAGTGATGTGGGATCAGTCCACCCACCAGGCCACATGCCCAAGGATGTGCAAAAGGGTGATTTAATCGCCAAAGGAAATGTGGGCTATTCCCAAAGGAAACTGGAGATACCTCCAGGAAGCGGGAGCAGCTGCTGGAAAAAGAGTAAAACGTCTTCTCCAGGCTCCTCCAGAATCCATCACACCCAGTCCCTGGCAATCACATGGGTCAGAAATGCAAAAAACGCCATTTCTTTTCTTTTTTTCTAACTTTATTTGTAAAGCTTATCTCCCAGTTTTAATGAGATGTAATTGGCATATACATACTCGTAAAGTTGTATTAGTTTCAGGTATACAACATAATGATTTGATATATGTGTATATTGTGAAATGCTCACCACAGTAAGTCTAGTTAATATCCATCATCTCATGTAGTTACAATTTTTTTTTCTTGTGATGAGACTTTTTAAGACCTACTCTCTTAGCAGCTTTCAAATATGCAACACAGTATCGTTAACTAGAGTTACCATGCGGTACAGAACATCCCAGGACTTATTTATCTTATAACTAGAAATTTGGACTTTTTGACCTCCTTCACCCATTTCGCCTAACCCCAGCCTCCACCTCTGGCAACCACCAATCTGTTTTCTGGTTCCACAAATTTGGCTTTTTTAGGATTTCACATATAAGTAAGGTCATACAGTATTTGTCTTTCTCTGACTTCTTTCATTTAACATAATGTATTCAGGGTCTACTGATGTCACAAATGGCAGGATTTCCTTCTTTTTTAAGGCTGAATAATATTTTATTGTGGATGTAGATATAGATAGATACGCACCACACTTTCTTTACCCATTCATTCACTGATAGACACAGGTTGCTTCTGTATCTTGGCTATTGTAAATAATGCTGCAGTGAACATGGGGATGCATTTATCCCTTCAAGATAGTGATTTCATTTCCTTCAGATATGTACCCAGAAGTGGAACTACCAGGTCATATGGAAGTTCTATGTTTCTTTCCTTTTATTTTATATTTTTTTAAGATTTTATTGGGGAATTGTGGAAGGGGAACAGCCAAGTTGTTGTCCTTCAATCCTAGTTGTGGAGGGTGCAGCTAGCTCAGCTCCAAATCCAGTTGCCACCCGGCCGCCTGTCGGCAGCTCACAGCAGGTCAGCTCAAGGTGCCATGTTCAATCTTAGTTGTGGGTGGGCATAGCCCACCATCCCATGCAGGAATCGAACCAGAAACCTTGTTGCTAAGAGTGCATGCATGCTCTAACCACTGAGCCATCCAGCTGCCCATGGGCAGCTCAGGGCAGCTCAACTCAAGGTGCCGTGTTCAATCTTAGTTGCCGGTGGGCGTAGCCCACCATCTGATACAGGAATCAAACCAGAAACCTTGTTGTTAGGAGCACGTGCTCTCACCAGCTGAGCCATCCTGTTGCCTGTTGGCAGCTCAGTAGCAGTTCAGCTCGGGTGCAGCTCACTGGCCCATGTGGGAATTGAACCAGCAACCCTGTTGCTCAGAGCTCGCGCTCTTAACCACCTGAGTCACTTGGCCGGCTAAGGACCCTCCATACTGTTTTCCATAGTGGCCACACCAATTGACATTCCCAAGGGAATGCCATCTCTGAGCCTGTCTGGTCCAGCAACCTCATCCTATCTTTAAATGCTCCGAAATCCACTAAATCAGAAACAAGTTCAGTACTGCGCTTAGCAGGGCACAGGCTGCCTCACTGTCATACATCTGCGGGGCCACTCTGTCTCTGAGGGGCTATAGCAAAACCACAAAAAGATTTTAGAGTGCCCACTTCCAAATAGCCTTTGGGTCCATGGCATTGAGTGAAATGAGAAAAAAATAAAGCAACTGTGCCATATACTGAGTTTATCGACTTATTAAAATATCCTTTTATGAGATGGTGGTGCTAATAGATGGTAGTAGCTTCCTTTTCTTCTTTACTTGCCACAATAAAATGTCAGTCCCCAGCCATGGAGATTTTCTTGTGGATCCTTGAAATCACATGTCTGAGAATTGTTGCACTATCAGAGGAGAGGGAGGGAGGGAGGGGATAGCAAGGCTGTTACACAAATGTTTGGCCCTTTAAAGTGTTCTGAGGAAGATGGCTGTGGCATTACTTTTTCCAAAATCCCACCCCCCCAAAAAAGATACAGCATCACAAAAACCCATGGATGAAAGCTGCAACAATGTGAGCAACAAAAATAAACAACACACTATTGGATAAGCCAAAGTATAAAAGAACTATGCACAAGTCCATGGGGATGTAAATAAATGACTGAATAAGTAAATAAAGGGAGAAGAGATACATCTCCCTTACAGAAGAATTTCAAGTAATATAGCTACATTCTCCCCTCTCTGAGAGGTCGAGTTAGTCCCCCTGGCTCTGTGGCCTGGCCTTAGTGATTTGCTAATGAAGAACAGCCTCGAAAGGGAATTCTCTGGCTGATAGTGGAGAAAGCTGGCAGACACCGGTTTAACCAGGAGGTCAGGATTAACACCATGTGGGTAGGGAAGGGCGCTCCTGTTATCTTGTCCATTTCTCTACCCCAGACCTGAAATCAGCCACTCTCCAACAAGCAACTCACTGGTCACCTTCTCAGGATGACAGCAAACCAATCCATTGTCTTCAAAACGAGGAAATAAAAGGAAAGACACAAGCATTTATCCTGCCTTTCCTTTGTGCCGTTCTACCGGGCCAGCAAATAGAATAGGGAAAGTGTCTCCTGATAACATTATTCCAGTGAATATATGAAAACAAAATGATAGGATACCACCATGTGGCAACCCCAAGGAATGAATGGATGTGGGCTTTGAGCATCAGTGGCCACCAATGTCAAAAAAGAGCCAACCGTTTCGTGCCACCCATGTAGGATCAGTCACCCATTGAGTCTTGCCAATGCAATCCAACCAAAACCTGATGGATCCGGCCACCGGTCTGCCAGAAATGCAGAGTTCAGAGGATGGTGCCCAACTGTGCCAGAGAAAATCCAGACTGGGAAACTTGTAGGGCCCATGGTCTGGGCTCTTTGAAGATGAATAGAAACAGAAAGGGATGGAGGGGGAAGCTGTGGATGGAAAGAGACTTAAAAGACATAACAGTATTTGAAAAACAAGCAAGACCAGGGATGCACACCTGGCCTTAACTCTAGAAAGAAACGCAAGGAGAAAAGCTATTACCACAAAAGTCAGGCAGGGGAGAGTGGAGGGGACTTCGAAGGCCTTCTGGGGGTGCAGGGTGTAGCGGGGAAGACAGTGGCATGAGGGAAACTCTCAGCAGCTGCCCCCATGAGACTGCAAGGTTCCATTCCTTGGGGTACCACCTCCCACCTCCCACCTACTTGCCCTTTCTTGTTTGGGAACAGAGGCTTGATTTAATTAAAACTTTTTTTTTTTTTGCATTTCTAACTAGGTAGAACTTCTGCAAGGAGAATTTGAAAACAAAATGTTTATCATTGATATGAACAGTGAATTGGAGTTGACCGCCCTGATGATACCCAGGCCAGGCACGTCACCAGTCCCACTCGTAAGGACATCCCCTTATCTGCTGGGCGAGGATTTCTGCTGCATGGCACTCCCCAGCGTCCTTGGCCTTGCGCCCTCTGCACATTATCCCCAAACTCCTGAAGGTCCCTGGTGTCCTTCCGTGGAGTGACACTCACTCATGACGCCCCGTCCAAACTGTCTCTGTCTTTTTCCTTGACCAGCATCTGTGTGTTTGAGTGTGATGGAGGCCATGGCTGTCTGTCCATCTGCCTGCCCAGCCTCTTTTTATGATACCTCTGCATCTCATTCCCCACCCTTTTTCTGAGCTGCCCCACATGCTTTCCACAAGTTTCTTTTCCTCTCAGCTCCGCCAGAGCTGGCTTCTGTCCCTTCCAGCCAAAAGCCCCAACTCACAGCTTTCCTTCATGTGGAGGTGTGTGTGTGTGGGGGGGGGTGAGTGGGAGGAGTGAGGGAGGTGGGGGTACCTAAGAAATAGCAAGTGTCCTGGACCTGGAAGCCAAGTGTCCAAGTTGAAAGGGGTCGGGGGGCAGGTTAGTGTGAGGAAATGGGGGAAAGTCTCGCCAGCCGGGACCAGGGCCTGCGAGGGGACGCCAGGCTGGCTGTCACCCAGAGGTCTCTCATCTCAGCCCCCCTCTGCAGGACTGGCCTGCGGGTCTCTCCATCCACCAGGGCAGGTCTTGGTCCTGCAGCTCGGCAGCTCCAGGCTGTCTGCAGAACGGGCTCAGAGGCCACAGTGAGGGTGTGGATGAGGTAGAGGGAGCATTTGGGGACAGGACTGGCAGCTACATTTGCAGAGCAAGCTCAGTTTTTAGTCTGAAGGTGCATGGTGGTCACCTGCAGGTGTCACCCAAGTGGCACTCCTAATGCTTCTCCTGTTCCCCCCACCCCCAGGCAATGGTGAGCAACCCCCACTCTCTGGGGCTGCAGGCCATCATCTACGAGGACGGCTACACGTACGATGGGAACATGAAGCACAGGCTGGTGAGCCATGCCCCCGCCCCAAACCGGGATCCGTGAGATGAAGGCCATGGCCTGAGGGGCCCGGCCAGGTCCAGCGCCCGTGGTCAGTCCCTGGGCCTGACCCTCCTTCCCTGCGCACATCTGGGTGAGGTGCTGCAGAATTTGGAGGGGACATATCCCCAGCCCCACCCCAACCCAGGCAGGCAGCAATCGCCCAGGTGAGTGGTGTCATTAAGGTGTCACACAGGAGAGTACAGAGGAAATGACTCGGAGCCTAACCCAGCCCCGGGAAAGGCAGGAGGTCTGTGTTAGCCCAGTAAATTGAGACATCAGGATGGAAAAAACCAAGGGAGCCTGGAGGGTCTTGGATATATGGGTCTGGGGATCTGTAGGGCCGAGACAGACCTCATGGTCACACCATGGAGTTTGGACTTCACCCCAAAAGCCCAGGATCAGGGTAGGTGGTTTTTCTCAGAACAAGGCATGAGTCGGCCACAACAAATTCTTTGGGCCAGTCCTAGTCACATCCCAACTAAATAAGAGGGGGAACAAAATCGCACCTCACTGTGTGTCCCCAGGACAAAGGCACTGAGGGATGTTGGAGCCTGGGGCAGGCATTTCCATGAGCTTCCAGAAGCCTTTCTGGAAATAGAATAGGAAAAGCCTGGACGGTTTCCGGGCACCTCCTCCCAACGCCCCGTCCTCCCTCCATCTCTCCCTGAACCCTCAATTTTGGGACCGTCCTGTGCTGTTGCAGTTGGGTGTTCTCTCTTGTTCCACAGAACATTTCCCTGAGGCAGCAGCACCACTGGGGCAGGGCTGACCCCAACTTTACCTCCAGGTAGGTCGTCTCCTGGACAGTGGCAGGCAGCCCGGGCTCTCTGTGGGGTTCCCTTAGCAGGAGCTGGGGAAGCAAGGCTGGGACCAAAACTTCCCCTTAGGGGATGGTAACGCAAGAATCCTTAAAGCACATTACAAATGTGGGTCCACAAAAATTAGACATAAAATTACCACATGATCCAGCAACTCTACTTCTAGGTATATACCCCAAAGAATTGAAAGCAGGGTCCCAAAGAGATACCTGTACCCCTGCCGTCACAGCAGTATTACCCACAATAACCAAAAGGTGGAAGCAACCCAAGTGTCCATCGACAGATTATGGATAAACACAGTGTGGTCCATCCAGACAATGGAATATTATTCTGCCTTAAAAAGGAAGAAAGTTCTAACACACATAGTACAACATGGATGAACCCTGAGGACATGATGCTCAGTGAAATACGCCAGACAGAAGGACAAATACTGTGTGATTCCACTTGTAGGAGGTCCCTAGAGTATATACTTCAACAACGAGTATGTTTTAATTCTATATGTAAAACTTTGTAACACTATATACTATATCATTGAAATTTGCCCAAGAGAATAAAACTTAAGTGTTCTCACCAAATAATAATAATAATTGTAAAAGTACGTGAGGTGATGGATGTGTTAATGAACTTGGGGAGAGTCTGTTCACAGTGTATATGTATATCAAATCACCCCGTTCTACACTTTAAATACAATTTTGTCAATTATACCTCAATAAAGCTGAAAAATATATAAAGTAAAAAAATATATATAACCAACAAGTGGTGCGTTGGTTAAGAGCTGGCTTGGGACACTAGCTCTGAGCAGCAGGGCCCCAGTTCGGATCCCACATGAGAGCCAGTGACGCTGTGCCCTCTACAGCTAAGATAGTGAACAACAGCTCGACCTGGAGCTGGGCTGCTGGGAGTCACTGGCGATGGCGTAGGCTGCAGCCCCTGCAGCAGTGGGCTGCCATAAGCTACTGTGAGTGGCCGGCAGCCAGCGTGATCGGCCGGCAGCCAGTGTGAGCTGCCAGGAGCCGCCGTGAGCAGCCGTCCAGAGGCCAGCAACTGATCTGACTTACCCGGGAAGAGCACAATGATAATACCAACATGGGCCAGTGAAGCAACTAGACTGAAGAACAAAAGGGTAGCAACTTGTGTGTTCCCCTTCCCTGATTCCCCAACGCTGTTCCCCTCCCCCAATTCCCCAATTAAAAAAAAAATCTTTAAAAAAAACAAACTAAAAAACAACAACAACAAAAAACCTCTGTGTGTTATTAATATAGAATTATGTTCCGCTCTCTCATGCTTACGGTTAATTTATTTAAAAGTCACTTCACTATTCATGTACTTGGCCATAAAAAAATCATTTCTCACAGTAGAAATATTAGACCACACTCTTAGACTTTAGTCCAATAGAACTAGAACTCAACAAGCAAAAAACACAAAAGCAACACCAATACCAACACCTCCTTCACTAGGAAATTAAGAAACACCTGTATAAATAACCCCTGAATCAAAGCATTCATGGAATACAGCTAAAATATACTCAGAGGAAAGTTCATATACCCCAAGTACTTTTGTTATTATATTAGGAAAAGTAATGGACTAAAGATAAACTAAATATTTAACTTAATGAACCAGGGGAACAACAAAAATAAATTATGAGAAGGAAATAAACAATGATACAATCTGAAATGTATTAAATAAAGGGTAAAAAGACAATATAAAGTCAAAATGAAATAAAGCTTGTTCTTCAGAAGACCAATATAATAAAACCCTACAACCCTGATGAAGGGGAAAGGACAGAATTAAGATGAGCAATAGGAATAGAAAACAAAGATAAAAGTATGGATACAGGAGCTAGTAAAAGAATGATGAGAAAACATTATATGCAGCTAGGTGATAATAAAATTGAATGATAGATTTTTTTCAATAAATTATTATATAAATTAACAAAACTGACTCAAGAAGAGGTAGAAACTCAAGGGAAGGTGGGGCCACCATATGTGAGTAGAGGTTCTCAGTCAATATTCTGGCTTTCCATGATGGATGGATGGATGGATGGAAGAGTGGATGGGTGGGTGGATGGATGGATAGATGCATGATTGATTGATAGGTAGGTAGATAGATATAATAGATAAATGGATGGATGGATGGGTTGGTGATTATTTCTATTGCAATGCCAGTGTGCAATAACACACACTCCTTACATGTTGCCTTACAGCATAAAGAGACCCACAATATCTACAATCACTCTGGACATAGCCAATAAGGAAATTTCATGCGTGGACCTCAAGCCACTGGTATGTCTCGAACTTTTGCTATCCCATATTCTTTGTCATTAGTGTTAAGAATAATGGCAGCAGGCCTTGGCTGACTTTTCCCTGAGGGATTGGCCAAGCCCACATTCAGGATCTGGAAATGGAGGTGATCTTTTCCCCGTTGCCAGGTCACTATCCCCTAGGGCTGCCCAGCATGACTCACCATCCTCAGAACAGTTGTATCAGTCCTGGTACTTGTTGGCTGTGTACAGAACAGCTTCTGGCTGACTCGAGTAACAGCAGTCCTCGGTGCTCCTAAGAGGAACTGGATTGGTTGGCTTGCAATGGAGGACTGTGCTCTTGGGCAATTGTTTGCCATCGCCAAGAATTGGGAGGGGCAGTCCCATCAGCAAGGCCCCAGATGCCAGAGAATGTAGAATACAAAAAATAAGAAAATATAGTTACTACAGCGGGTGAGGGCACTAGGATGATGGACCTAGATGATGGTGGGTGGGATGGGTGGGGACGGGAGTGGAGCTCAGGATGCCAGCTGGCACTGTCATGCTGCCAAAAGGAAAAAGGGTGCCTGCACATGCTCTCATGGGACCTTTGGACATCAGCCCAGTGTATGCCCCCTTTTCTGTCATCTGTCCCCTCACATCTACCCAGGGTGGATGCTCCTTGGGTTGGACTGTCTTCCTTTCTGAGGTTTGTTCCTGGCCAACCCAGTCTCCAGAGGAGGACGGGTGCTGGGTGCTGTCCCTAGGATGCCTGTCTGGGCTACAAACCATGGCCACCTCGGAACATCCTTAAACTAGAGAGGGGAGTGTTTGTGAGGACACATCAATATCCCACTGCAGAACCCACAAGCATGATGGACAACAGTCACCCATTGATCAGGTGTCCTAGCACTGTTGACGGATCTAGCATCCACCCTGGGTAGATGTGAGGGGACAGATGACAGAAAAGGGGGCATACACTGGGCTGATGTCCAAAGGTCCCATGAGAGCATGTGCAGGCACCCTTTTTCCTTTTGGCAGCATGACAGTGCCAGCTGGCATCCTGAGCTCCACTCCCGTCCCCACCCATCCCACCCACCATGTCTTGCCTCCCTTCTCTGTGTGTAGGAGGACACCTCCTTGGCTTTTGTCTAATCCTCTAAGTCAGCAATTCTAGCTGCTCCAGCAAAATATTCCTGAGGGCAGAGGAAGTGAGGGGCCATCCCTGGGAGGGTTTGGAGGGTGGGGACAGTTAGAACACATGACTTTCTTTGAAAATTCATGGCTGCTTTGAAAAATCGATACGCACACTATTGGTACCATGCATGAACCCTGAAGACAGTGTGCTCAGTGAAATAAGCCAGACACAGAAGGACAAATACTGTGTGATTCCACTCATAGCAGGTCCCTAGAGAAGTCAAATCCATAGAGACAAGAAGTAGATGGTGGTGCCAGGGGCGGGGGGAGGGAGTACAGGGAGTGAGTGTTTAGTGGGGACAGAGTGTCAGTTTGGGAAGGTGAGAAAGTTCTAGAGATGGATGGTGGGGAAGGCTGCACAGCAATGAGTTTGCTTAATGTCACTGAGCTATGTACTTAAAAAATGGTTACAATGGTAAATTTTATGTTATGTCTATTTACAATTTTAAAAAAATTAATATGAATCTTGCATTCTGTTTTATGGCAAATCCATGTTTATCTTAACTTAATATAAAGCTGCTTCTTTTCAAACACCAAAAGTCTCCCTGTCCTGTGGTGTTAGACTCTCTTATATATCTCTGAGGGGGCCACCATACCCCAGCTTGAGAAGCACGTCCCTAAGGCTGTCAAGCTAACTGAAATATCTCTTTCCCTTTTCTCCTTTCTGTTTGTTCATTGCAGCCCATTCATTCATTCATTCATTCACTCATTCTCTTGTGCTCTGTATGCCAAGCATTGTGCTGGATTTATAAATTGGGCTCTGGTCTCTGCGAAGCTGCCAAAGGTAGGTGGGCTGTGGGGGGACCTTAGCTGCGCCCCAGTGCTCAGGCAGGCTCTTAGGGCCTGAGCTCCATGGGGCCAGTCACGGTCACAGGGAGTCAGTCCCAGGTGCCTGGGTCACTTCATCAGTGGCCCTCACTGACCTGATGAGCATCCTTGTCTCTCCTTTGCAGACGGCGCTCATTTCAGTTGGTTGTGACCTAGAGAAGAAGATCGTCATTCAGAAGTGTGTTGTTGGTTAGGCGGGTGGCGCGGGGGGAAGTGGGGTGTGGGGACGGGGAGAGATTGGTCACTATCGCGTCACGTTTGCTGAAGTTGGGTGATAGTATCCTGTCTACTTTTATATCTGCTTATCATTTCCATAAATAACAGGTCAATAATTTATACTATGAGGTCACGTTTCAGTTTCTGGCCTCCCCTCCTTCACTGATTTAGCAGCACTCACAGTTTCTCCCTCCTAATGTTTTGCTCGTTCTATTTCTTCCATTTAGTCCCTTAATTCCTCATTTTGATTAAAATAGTGGAGGGTTTGGGGTTCTAATTGCTTGCTGGAAAATTTGGGAACTTAGCCTCCAGTATTCATCGTTACCCTGGGAATGGAGCTGTGAGAATCTAAGAAAAAAAAGCAAAACCTGAGGACTGGCCAAATTACCATCCCTTTGCCCTTTAGGCAGTGGTGTGCTGGTAAATGCCTAACTCCCGGTTCTGAGAGTTAGGGTGCAGAGCCCTAATTCACAGCATCTGCCAATTCCTGTGATATAAATACTCCCACGGGTATGATTTCAGGCTACCACCATGCCATCCACTGGCTCCCCAAACCCCCAAATGTTCAGAGTCGGCCCCGCACCCAGCAGGAGCTGGCTGCAGTGCTCCATACAACAGGACAATCACCAACTCGGGTGATGATTTTATTAGACTTTCCCTTCAAAAGGGAAATGCTTTATTGAGTCAATAAATTACATATTTAGAACATATGTGCAGGAAAGTTTGTTAAAACAATTTTTAAAAAGCTTTTGCTGTAAAAAGAGTGGGGAAGATATTTGCCACATATGTAGGCAACGAAGGACTGGCATCCAGAATTTATAAAGAACTCCTACAGATGATGAGAGAGAGAGGAAGAGGAGTGGGCGTGGGGGGGGGAGAGAGAGAGAACAAATAGACAAAAATGGGCACAGGACTTGAAAGGCACTTCCAAAAAAGAAAAAAAAAAGGCTGATAAACATGTGACAAGATGCTGAAAAGATGGTCAACCTCACTTAATAGGGAAATGAAAATGAAAAATTTTACTAGAGACCCTTTTCCGCCCACCAATGTGGCAGAATTTACAAAGCTTGGCCAGTAGCAAGTCCTGGGAAGGATGGAGTCCCCCCCGCCCCCGGCAGCCCCTGGAACTCACAAACACTGCAGGTGAGCATGCACACATTTCAGCTGCTTTGGAAGGCAAATCTGTCAACCCGGCACTTCAACTCATGCACATTTGCACTGGCGTAGGTTCCAGAATGTTCTCTGCAGCATTATTCTTAATAGCACCAAGCTGGAAGCACGCCAACTCAAATGTCCATTGACTGGAGGATGGATGAACCAGGTACGATGTTTTGATACAATGGACTAACAGCAATGAAAGCGAATGAGGCAGAATTAGTTGGATGGGCCATGCAAACAAGGAGGGGGAATGAAAGACAAGAGGACACACCTAGCATGATTCTTAGTCTTAAAAATCCAAAACCAGGCAAATATCAACTATTATAATATATAGCCTAAGGATGTATGCCCCGGTGGCAGAGTCCCAAAAGTCAGGGTGCTCAACGCTGTGATCTTGGTCTCCAGTATGAGGTATTAGGGCTCATTGGAAAAATGGCCAATGCTGGGCTGGGCGGGGAAGATGCAAGATAGGTCTGGGGCATCTTGAAGAACCAAAAAGTAAGAAAGGGCCCAACTATCAAACCAATGGAGACATATATGTCAAAGGAAGAGTTAGCACTGCTTTGGTTCTGTGTAGGATCAGGCAACGTCTCACCATCTTTTGTTTCCTGCAGTGAAATCTCAGCCTGTTACAAAGGCATCCTCGATCCCGTGGCCCTTCAGGACAATTACAGCTATGTCATTGAGAAGTGAGCCAGAGATTTTCCTTCACCCCTCCCTCCTGTGACCACCAACCTCACAGACCCTTCCCAGCCTGCCGCTGGCTCATGGAGCTGGGCCACCTGCTTATCTCAGCTACCAGAGTTGGCCAGACACTGTCAGCTAAGGCAGGAGGGGGTGGCGGACCAGATGATCCTCTATGCCCTGTGGCTGGTCCCACATGCCACCAAGTGGGCATGAGGTGGGGCTTGGCCCTTCTTGGCCCCAGGCACAGGGAGCCTCTCCCACACGGGTGTGTGTCCTCCCCCTCCTGTGGGAAGACAAATGTGTGTTTCATACATGGCTCCTCGGATACAAGCCAAGAGTCAGTCAGCCATCCAGGGCCACAGCCAAGGCCAAAACTGGAGCTGCTGGCCTTGCTGACCTCAGCTGCAGTCAGATCTCAGGGAGGCATAAAGTGTGTGAGTCAGGGGTCTCCAGGGAAAGAGAAGTGACAGGATGTGTGTGAGAGAGAGCCGGAAAGGACAGAGAGAAGAAGTGAGAGAGAAAGAAAAACAGAGAGAAAGAGGGAGAGAGACAAAGATAGAGAGAGATGGAGACAGAGAGAGAAAGAGAGGTCATACTTTTTTTCCTGTTAAGGCCTTCAACTGCACCTACATTAGGGAGGGCACTCTGTTGTACACAAAGTTCACTGATTTAAATGCTAATCTCATCCCCCAAAAAACACCCTCACGGAAACATCCAAAATAATGCCTGACTATCCAGGTATCGTGGCTCAGTCAAGTGGACTCAAAATTAACCATCACAGGGAGCCCCAGGGTCATTTTGACCATGCCTCTGAACCCCCACCTCAGAGGCCCCTTCATTGGAAGCAGCCGATGCTGGGAGGTGTGTGTTGTGGGAACTTCCAAGTCGCCTGGTAGGACCTCACCCCCTGACCCATTCTCTGCTTAGGGAAGCCTATGACCCCAATTTTCGGGGGCAAAGGGCTACCAAGGACCTGGTGGTGTATTACCCTTACGAGAAACTGGGCTGTCCCCTTCTCGCCTACTACGACACCCCGTGGAAGCCGGTAGTGGAACTGTAAGCTCCCTGTGGGGCTGTTGGGGTGGCAGCCTGGCTGTGCTCTCTGCTCCTTGGCTCCCAGCCCCGCCCTTCAAGTCCCCCTATCACCCTCAGGTAACGCCCTCTCCACCCAGTCTCTCCACGCCTCAACCCCATCCCAGTCCCCGAGGCCCTTGACCACGCTGTGCCTCCCCTGCGACACCCGCTCTTGCCTTTTCCCTACTTAGCTCTCAGCTCCCACTGTCTTAGCTCAGGCAGCCATCACAACATACCACTGACTGGGGGACTGAGACCGCAGACTCACAGTCCTGGAGGCCTAAAGTCCAAGATCAGGGTGTCAGCAGGGCTGGTTCCCCCCAGACTCCCCCTTGGTGAGGAAAAAAGAAAGGGCCCCATCAGAGGATGTGTAAGCTCCAACCTGGCAGGAGACAACAGAACATGCATCAAAACAGTATTGATTTAGAACAAACCTAATTACCGGCCATATGCAAAAGGTTTTGCATATCTGCAAACGTCATCAGAAAAATGTTAGAGGGAAGGTGCGGAGGATTACATTTATTTATTGGTTTATTTGCTTATTAATTATCTGTTTGTGAGTGACATTCTTCAGTTATAGGACATCACATCAGTTTTATCCAATCTCTGCTCTTTTGTCCCCTTCTCAGAGAGGCCACCCCATAGAAAAACTCAATGTCCACTCCCCACACCCCTCCACCTCTTCTCCCCACCAGCCACTGCTGCAAGTCCACCTGTTGACCATCCCTGAAGTGTTAGCCCGGTGAGGCCAGGGGGTCTCCGCTTTGCTCTGCTGCTCCCACCACCCCAGAATGGTCCCTTAACACATCAGGGCTGCCCAATCCCCCCTCACCCCCGCACTGCCCCCCAAAGCCACCTCCTGTGTGTGTGTTGTAGGTGGCGGGAAGGAAAGTTTCAGGAGGTTATCGAGGCGGAGTATGTCTTGCTGGAGGTGAACGGGCTGTTCACATACACGTACGCCCTGACGGCCCGCACTGCACTCTGCACTTCCCAGCCACAGAACTGGACCACCATCATAGAGAACGCCGGCGACAAGGGGCCCTTTGCCTGGGACCGAGAGGTAACAATACTCTTCAATTATTTCCAAAACAGGTCACCAGTCAGACCGTGATCACAGTGTGTATGTTTGGGGCTGTTTCAGTTTGTTCGGGTTGCTGTCACAGAACACCAGAGGCTGAGAGCTTATAAACAACGGACACTTATTTCTCATGGTTCTGGGGGCTGAAAGTCCAAGACCAAGGTGCTGGCAGGTCTCATGTCTTGTGAGAGTTGCTTCCTGGTTCACAGATGACTATCTTCTCACTGTGTCCTCATGTGGCAGAAGGGGAGGGGAGCTCTCTGGGGTCCCTTTTATAAAGGCACATCTTCACAGTCTAATTACTTCTCAAAGGCCGCACCTCCTAATATTACCCCCTTGGGTTAACATGAATTTGGGGGTTGGGGGAGACAAGCAACATTCAGTCCACAGCAGGGATATCAGGGGATAGAAGTACACTAGGACACCGTGGGCCAGATGGCCGCATCTGGGAATGTAAGACATGCAAATCCTTTGGGAATCTCCCCCAAGAAAATTGGCCAAATGTTCACAGCTGTGGGCTTTGCTGATAATGTGCAAAATTCTAGAACCATCCAAATCTCCATTACTAAGGGACGGATTAAATTCACTGTCTGTTCTGCTCAGTGAGCACTTCTGTTATGAGCATTGGTTTGTACGCGACTGTCAGTAAAAGGAAGAAATTGTGTTAGTCCCTTTGGGAGCCTCTGGTGCACATTAATAGTTTCCATCAACAGCCACTCAACTCCAAGGCACGAAATGCGGCGCAATGCTGCAATGCCGCCAGTAGGTGGCGCTCGCTCCCCGCGCCTGAGCCCATTCCAGATGCGGACTCTTGGCTCCTTTTTTTAAAAAAGATTTTTTTATTGGGGAATTGGGGGGATGGGAACAGTGCTGGGGAATTGGGGGAAGGGGAACAGACAAGTTGCTGTCGTTTTGTTCTTCAGTCTA